GAGTCTCAGCTGTGAATTGTCCCCTGGTTCTCCACCATCTTCCTCTTACATATTCTGAGACCCTAAGCGAGCTGCTCCCAGTCAAGCACCACATGTGGGTGCAGCTGCTCACCCCATAGGAAGATTTCAGGTTCAGGCTGCGCCACTGTGGGAGGAATGTGTGCCTCCTTTGCATGCAGTAAATAAACCCTCTGACATCCTCAGCTCACTCTGCTGAGGTGAAATCTGTCCCTGCCCCATCAAGCTGCTGAATCTGTCTGTAATCTAGAGTCCCGGGGTTAGGAAACCTTATAAATTAGGCTGGGCGCTTGGAGGTTGGCCTGCCTCTGCAGAAACCAATTCAAGTAAGTGTTTCCATTACTATGCAGGAGGCTCTGACTAGACCGGCAGGTGATGGAGGCCGGCTGTCCAGGGTGACGGGTGGAGAGTGAGACTGAGCTACCAAGCAACATCCGCACTGAATCCTGGAAATAAACACAAAGAAGAGCAAGGTTATGTAAAAACTTTATGCATCATTTCTACGATTTTTTGGTTTGTCGCTTATTTCAGGTGATATATTTATTATTTGTTCATATTTCAAGAATATATAGCTTCAAAACGAACTCATGATCCAAGGTACAAAGTGGTCTCCAGAAGTCACCACACCATCCCCTCTTTCTGTGTCAGTCTTCCCCAGTGCATGATCCTTGGTTCTTGAACCTTCCTCACTCTCAGATCTGAACATCATAAGCCCCATTCTCCTGGGAGGACAAGATGTGCACGCCCAATACATGAAAGGAAATACACATAGGAGTGTGTAGTGAGGCCTGCAGAGTCACTGCTCACAGGATAGTGGGACCCCAGAGCTCACCATTCCACCCCCACTCTCCTCCCAATCTCCTTCTGCCCTCACTGGGACTTAGAGCATTAGTAGCCCCAGGAGCTGAGACAGAGGGAGCCTCACTGTGAGAAGGCAGGAACTGAGGAGTCCTGATCAGTCAAGGCAAGGTTAGAGTTGAAACTTTATCTCAGAATCACAAGGGAAGGTCCTCCCTAGGGCACAATATGCAAATCATCCCAGGTGCAGGGGTGGAAAGAGCCGCCAAGGAGATGATAGGAGTCTCCTGTGAGCAAATGACTTCTGTTCAAAATATCTTCTGTTCAGAGGCAAACCAATAGACATAAAATCTATGCTGCCCATGTGGGAGAAATTGAAGCATTTCCTTTGTCTTCTCTAACAGATTTATTTCATAGCACTTTCCCAAGTACATTTTTATACTCTTGTTAATAAGACCGAGTTTCCACAAATAATGGCTAATTCTTATGTTTTTTTCATTTGTTTAAAAGAGTTCAGATTTGGCCCTTTTCAATTTTTTTTTTTAAATTGAAATAAAACACAATAATAGCTAAAGGACAGAAATGTTAAATAATGCAACTGAATAAAGTTTTACATATATCTCCACCCAGACTGTAGAATACTTCAGAACTTCTAGATTCCTTCCCTCATGTACCTACCTTCAAACAGCCGTTCCTGATTCCAATGAAGAAACTACATTTGACTTTGTCCAGATAGGGACAATTTCTACATGAAACCTCATATGAATGGAAGTAAACACATTTGTTTGGTTTAGCCTTTTTTTTCATTCCTGTAGTACTTTGAGACCTTCCTTCCTCCTTATGGATTCACATTATCTGGCTGTCATTTTTTAGAATCTGAAGAATTTCCTAGGAATTTCTTATAGAGCATGTCTTTAAGTGATCATTTTTAAAGATCATTTCATGAAGAGAAACATCATTTGTTTATCAAGAAATGTTTTTCCTTTACCTTTATTCTTGAATGCATACTTCAGTGGATAAATCCTTGTTTTGTTTTGTTTTTTTTTTTTGTTTTGTTTTCCAGCATTTAAATATGTCATTCCACTGATTTCCTAGACTCTCTTTGGGCATGATGAAAAGTTAGCTGATGGCTTTATCACCGTATTTCCTGTATGTGTAGAGAGGGTTTTATGTTTGATGCATTTGAGATTTTCCTTGTCACTGGTTCAGCATTTTAACTATAATATGTATAGTTATGTGTATCATTGCGTTTTTCTCCCCAAATAAGTTCTTTTCGATTATTTTTCCTCTATAGATGAATGTGTTTCATTGCTTCTTGAAAGCTTTTGTCATCCCTCCAAAATATTTTTGCCACTTTCTGCCTTCTCCCTTTCTGACTCATTGCACATTTGCTATGTTCTACACATTGACTAATAAACTTCTAAGGTCATGATTATTTTTCTTAATTATTTTCTTCTTTTTCAGATTAGATAGTTTCCACCAAACTGGTGCTTCTGCCAACTCTGAACTCCTGCTGCCCATATCTAGTGAATTTGCTCGTTTTTATATTTTTCAACTAGAATTCTTATTTGGTCCTTTTCCATAGTTTCCCTTTTCTCTACTGAGTAGACCCCATTCTTGAGTCATTGTCCTTAGATATTTTTCTTTTTTGAGTCCTTGATCACAGTTTTAAAGAGTTCTTTGAAGCCTTTTTATGTGACAAACCACTTGAAACCTTTAGCAAAATTCAGTATTTAGAATAAGTCAGAGTCAGCTCCACTGACTGATTTATCTCAATATGGTTTATGACTTTCTCTTTCTTTTCAGGAATTTTTATGGAAAAATGAGCATTGTAGATAATATATTTTTTGTATGTCTCAACTTAATACACAATTCTGGATTCTGTTTTATTTTCTAAGAGTGTTGAATTTCTAATAGCTTGCCTGGACTTATGCTGCAGAATCTATACCTTACTAGCTGTTTGGCCATTGATATTTCTACTTTTATTCCTTTTAAGTTTTAACCATACCTATGTCTGCATAGTTTAGTAATCACCAGTAACTTGGGCATTTGTGTTGCTCAAACTCCTTGAGCTCAATCATCTACTTTCTGCCAATGTGTGTATGTGTGTGGGCTTGAAGAGGGAACGTAAAAGACACCTCCTTCATTTTTATTCATCAAACACTTGGGTCTCTTCACTCAAATATGCAATTGCTAAGTCACATCTAAGCCTATCTCTAAGAATGTGTGGTGATGATTCATAATCTCATGATTGCATGGTTTCCAGTAATCCATTATCAAGTTCTAACTGGTGTACCACTTCTCAACCAGGGTCATCACCTCGGACTTGCAAAACCTCGGGCTTTTTCTGGGCATTTTCCTGCAGAGTTCGAAAAGCACCATTAGCTGAAAATACTATGATCTTGTCCTACTCTCCCATTCCAGCTCAAGTCAACTTCTTGGGCAACAAGCTTCCAGTTGTTGTTGCCATTTCAGTTGGTAAACTAGACTTCAAAATTCCTGTTGATGAAGTTTGGGTGAAACAAAAGAGTTCCAGGCAAAGGCCATAACCTTTTCCTATCTGTTAGTCTGAAGTGCACCATTTTGTAAGCCACCCGCCATTTTGTAGACCTCGGTCAAAGTGAGACATTCCACGGGGGCTGGGATCAGAGAGACATCCTGTCTAACCACCTGACTACAGGGCATCCCACTCTGTCTTCTGCTGACAGTTTGGCCCAAGAAACATTCTTGTCACACTCGCTGGGCAAAGGGTACAAAGAATATCCTTGGCATAACTGCCTGATTTCACAGGAATATCTTATCAACGTCCTGTCAGGCAGCAACTCGTACTGCCCAGAACCCTCCCGCCCATACCTGTAAGTTCCCCAGCCTGTAAGCGGCAGTGGGTATTAAGCTAGTCCCCCACCTCCACAGTCTTGTGCTGGACATAAAACCTACTTTGGCTGTAGAATGGTTGAACTAATTTACATTCCCACTAACAGTGTAGAAGTTTTCCTATTTCTCCACAACCTTGCCAGCATCTGTTGTTTTTTGATTTTTTTTTTTTTTTTTTTTTTTAATCTGAGAAGGGATATTGTTCTGTCACCCTGGCTGGAGTGCAGTGGCACGATCTCAGCTCACTGCAGCCTCCGCCTTCCAGGTTCAAGCGATTCTTGTGCCTCAGTCCCTCAAGGAACTGGGATTTCAGGTATCCACCACCACCTCTGGCTAATTTTTGCATTTTGAGTAGAGATGAGGTTTCACCATATTGGACAGGCTAGTCTTGAACTCCTGACCTCAAGTGATCCACTTACCTCGGCTTCCCAAAGTGCTGGGATTACAGGTGTGAGTCACCATGCCTAGCTTATTGTTTTCTGACTTTTTAATAATCGCCATTCTCACTGGTGTGAGATGGTATCTCATTGTGTTTTTGGTTTGCATTTCTCCAATGATTAGTAATGGTGAGCTTTCTTTCATATGATTATTGGCATCATGTATGTCTTTTTTTAAGAAGTGTCTATTCATGTCCTTTGCCAGCCTTTTAATGGGGTTGTTTATTTTTTGCTCTAAATTTGTTTAAGTTCCTTAGATACTCTGGATATTAGACCCTTGTCAGAAGAATAAATTGCAAAAATTTTCTCTCATTCCTAATGTTGTCTGTTCACACTGAGATAGTTTCTTCTGCTGTGCAGAGGCTCTTTCGTTTAATTAGATCGCATTTGTCAATTTTTGCTTTAGTTTAATTTGTCAATTTTTGCTTTTGTCAATTTTTGCTTTTAATTTAATTTTGTCTCTGGTCATTTGTCAATATTAGGTTTTAGTTTAATTAGGTCACATTTGTCAATTTTTTTGTTGCAAATGCTTTGGGCATTCTCGTCATGAAATCTCTACCCATGTCTATATCCTAAATGGTATTGCCTAGATTTTCTTCTAGGGTTTTTATAGTTTGGGGCTTTACATTTAAGTCTGTAATCCATCTTGAGTTCATTTTTGTATAAGGTGTAAGGAAGGGGTTCGGTTTCCATTTTCTGCATATGGCTAGCCAGTTCTCCCAGCATTATCTATTAAATAGGGAGTACTTTCCCCATTGCTTGTATTCATCAGGGTTGTTGAAGATCAGATGGTTGTAGGTCTCCAGCATTATTTCTGAGTGCCCTATTCTGTTCCATTTGTCTGTGTCTCTTTTTGTACCAGCACTATGCTGTTTTGATTAATGTAGCCACGTAGTTCTATTTATCATATGACTAAATATTTTCTTGCTATGATTTGAAACTTACTCATAGTATATAGAAGTACATCCAAGTGTATTCTGAGGCCATTACTTCACTGACAAAATTCTGAGAGTCGGGATACGTGACCACACTAGGATGTCACCTGTCACTTCCCCGTCATCACTATCATTCTGGAAGCACATTTGCCAGAAACCGTTTTCCTTCTCTGGTTTTTGGTAGAGTTGCCCAGTGAGGGGCCCGCCCTGAGATTGAGAAGTAAGAAGGGGAAGATTCAATATTATCCATCAGCACCTGCTGCAAGACATTTGGACAGAGGTGAGGACTGCAGAAGCACCTGGTGAAGTCCTCCAGGCAGCTGAGAGCATCTGCAGTCCCACCCATGGGCTTCTCAGAAACGTCTAAAGACCACACGATTGGCAATTGTACCTTCTCTGTCAGATGCATTCTGGATTCTGGAAGATAATTCCTCTTTTCTAGTATTTACATCTTTGACTACTATACCCGTAAGCCTTTAAAAGGCTATAGTTTACATTCTCACACCTTGTGTTAAAAAAAATCCTACTTGGAATACCTAGAGTGGCTTATTTTTGCTGTATGAATTCCAACTGATGCCACAACTCAGACTCCTCAGGTGTAATCCTTTCTTCTCAATGAAATCAGAAGCATTGCCCTGTCTGTGCTACTGGGGATTAGGACAAGGAAAGACAGCTACGAGTAAGTGGGCCTTCATGGTTCTTTTACAAAAACTCTCCAGTGACCTTCAAAGTGTGACTGCGATTTGAGAAACACTCTCAGCAGGTGGAGGCACCAGAAGGGGCATCTGGGACCACTGAGCCTCACACATCTGCTCCCCTGGGTGATTTATGTTATGACTTGTAGCACTGTGGGAGGGAAATTATCATACTGTTGACAGTAATATGTTGCGATATCTTCAGACTGCAGACTGCTGATGGTGAGAGTATAATCTGTCCCAGATCCACTGCCACTGAACCTTGATGGGACCCCTGTTTCCAAACTGGATGCATAACAGATCAGGCGCTTAGGGGCTTTCCCTGGTTTCTGCTGATACCAACTTAAATAATTGTTAATGCCCTGACTCGCCCGGCAAGTGATGGTGACTCTGTCTCCTACAGATGCAGATAGGGAGGATGGAGACTGCGTCATCTGGATGTCACATCTGGCACCTGAAGTTGGAAACATAAAAACAAATATTCATACTATTAATCATATTATAGGGAGGTTTCCATGAAGAGCCAATCTGTACCGATCACACTGGCTGAATAAATTCCTGCTGTTCTCCTTCCTTACCTGGGAGCCAGAGCAGCAGGAGCCCCAGGAGCTGAGTGGGGACCCTCATGTCCATGCTGTGCTCTGACTGGGACTGACTCCTGCACAGGGTGTGACCAGCCTATTAAGAAGTCTTCAGGGCAGGGGGCTGTGCTCTGGAACATGCAAATCAGCAGGGGATGGGGCAGGCTGGGCACTACTGCAGGGCTGGCAGATCTCAGTTACTCAGCACAGGGGCAGTATCCCCAGAGTCCCAGGTCAGACCAGGGCAGCACAGATTTGTGTGTAAATAAGTGTTTCTTCCTGGGGGCTGTTTTGTTACAAAAGACTTTTCTGAGTTAATTGTCAAAATTTGAAATATTCCTGAGGACTAGATGGAGAAATATAGTTTATTCGTGCATGGAGATTATTTTTAAAAAATACAGTATGCACTCAAATGGAAGAAAGCACTTTGTGATGTACTTACAACACTTCTGTTAGCATGAAAGTATTCTCTTTTTGGAATGGAAATTAAATAGAAATGTATCTAGATTGCAATCCCTGTCTACACGCTATCCTTTCCCTTTCATTGTACTGCTGCTGACTTCCAGTGGCCATCTACGCCCCTCACTGCTCTTTCTGAAGCTGGAGAAGGCAGCTCTGCCTGCATGCATAGCAGACCACAGGGGCTCAAATGAGCCTCTCTTTGGACAGTGTTATGATTTTCCTGTGTCCCTCAAAACCCATCTGTTGTTAAGTTCATCTCAATGCAATGGAATTGGGAGGTGGGACCTAATGGAAAGGGTTTAAGTCATGAGGTCTCTGCCCTCATGAATGGATAAATGCCACTCTAACAGGGCTTGTGCTGTGGAATAGAACTGCAGTCCACTCACTCAGTTCAGTGAGATCAGATATTCACACCGAGTTTGCAGCAGGAGAAAGTGTTTGTTTGTTTGTAGGACATCAGGTAAAGAGAATCCAGCAGCTAAGACTCAAATCCTGGCCTCACTGATGGCTTGCAAGTAAGGGTTTTATAAGGTAGGAGTAAATTTCAGGAAAGTAGAAATTACAGGTAAAGTTGAAAATTAATACATGGAGGTCACATATTGGTTTTGGCCTAAAAGGGCAGGACATCTTGAAGCAGGGGCTTACAGATGAAGGGTAGATTACAAGATTTCTAAATTTGCAATTGGTTAAGGAAGAAAAGCTTTGTTAAAAAATTTGGATTCAGCAGAAGAGAACATTAGCTCAGGTTTATGGATATGACTTTTACCAGGCCCCTCTGTAAGATATTTAGAACAAAGCACCATGGTCAGAGCTCAGTCCCCAGTTCCCCCTTTTGTGAGGTCTATGTGCTGGCCTATTCATTTGGAGGGGGTCTTGTTTTCTCAAAAACACGTCAGAGACATATAGTACAATGTCATCTTCAGTTTCTGTAGGGGAAACCACCATCCTTTGTGTCTAACTTATTTGGCTATTGTTTTAGGCTATTACTTCCTTGCTTATCATGTTACTTACTTACTTCTTAAGGCTAGATAGGTGCTTGGAATTTCCTTTGAAGAGACTCAGGATTTTCTATTCTTTCCGTTCTTGGGGTGTGGGGGTTGCAGGTTCCTGAGAGTGAGTCCCTGCTCTTTTCCACTTGTGGGAGTAGGCTTTCTCTCTCTCTTTTCTTCTCTTCTGTCACGTAGGGCATGGACTTCCTTCCTTCTGGAGGACTCAGGATCATAATGCCATCTTGAAAGTAGATAAACCAAACCCTAATCTGACAGTACTTGATCTTACACTTCCCATCCTCTAGAAATATGAGAGAATAATTGTCTGCTCTTTATCAATTACAGTTTCAGGCATTCTGTTATACAAAGACACAACAGACTAACTGAGGTGACCATCAATAGATGAGAACAGGAGTACGAGTATACGTACCCCAGCTCTCTCCTTTCAAATGAAATAGCCCAGAGGCATTGTCCCCATGCTTCCACATGGGATGGAGCTTCAGTCATCCTAAGAGTTAGGTAACTTTTGGGGGAGACTTTTGCCACCCATCCTCTATTTCCTGCTACACTTTCCTCCTTCCCTCCCAGTGTAAACAGGCTGTCTGCGCACAGTTCCTTCTTGTTGGTGAACTCAGTTCACGGTGGAACAAATCCCTATTCTTGGAAGAAGGTATCTCTGCTCTAAATTCTTATCACTTTTCCTTTCTTGGTGCACAAGAAAATCCAGTAAGCCGTTAATTTCCCTTCACCAACTATCTTGGATCTGATTTATGCAGTCGACTTCTTCTGACTCACAAAATAAAAGGAGTCTTTCAAATCAGCTACACACAGCTAGGTGCAGTGGCTCACACCTGTAATCTCAGCATTTTGAGAGGCTTCGATGAGCAGATTGCTTGAGCCCAGAAGTTTGAGACCAGCCATGGCAACATGGTGGCAAAACTCCATCTCTATGAAAAACACAAAAATCAGCCAGGCTTGGTGGCATGTTCCTTCAGTTCCATTTATAAAGAAGCTGAGGTGGGAAGATTGCTTGAGCTCAGGAAGCTGAGGCTACAGTGAGCCGTGATTGTGCCAATGCATTCTAGCCTGGTCCACAGAGTGACATCCTGTCTCAAGAAACAAAACAATACAAAAAATTCCACAACGCTACATGCCATGAATTCCAGACTGGAGACAGTGGAATAAATAGGTCAGAGGGTTCCCAAGTCTCAATTTTTTTCCAGCTCTCTTGTCTTATCAATCAGCCTCATGACTTTTTTATTTTACTTTGAAAACAGTTGTGGAAAATCATAAGTGTTGTTAAAAGAATAAATATTACACACTCCAAAGACATTCATGTCCTCATATCTGAAACCTATGAATGTTACCTTGTATGTTCAAAGAAATTTAGCAAATGTGATTAGATTAAGGATTTTGAGGAAAGGAGAGGATCCTGGATTATCTGGGTGAGACAGCAGAATCACAAGATCCTATAATAGGGAGGGAGGAGGGTAACAATGAGAGAGCAGCTGGGACTATGGAGAGGGATGCATGAGTAATGGGGGATGAGGCTATAGAACAGACAATGTTGGGGCAGCTTGATGAGGAAAAGCAGAAAATCAGATTCTCTTCCTTAGGAACCTCCAGAAGTAATGGAGCCCTACTGACTCCTTAATTTTAGCTCCGTGAGACTTCTGACCTTTAGAGCTGTAGGATAATAGATTTGTGTTGTATCAATCCAGTATTGTTATGGTAATTTGTTTCATCAGCAACAGAAAACCAATGCAAGAGGGAGAGATGGCTTCATGTTCTCCAAAATATGTCCTCTGTCCTCTGTTCTCCAAAATATTTCCACCTTGCTGTCATTTGCTGTCCATTTTGACAAGACTTGGAGAACACTATATTGTAAGGGGAGGTAGCATCAGAATTCTTCTAAGGTAGAGAATCTCTGGGGTCAAATCCCTTGATTAGCTCTTGTACGGTATGTGTATCTGAGAGCCTAGGGGTCAACTCTCACAGCAGATGAGAAAGTCCAGGTTGTTTGTTTTCATATTTGGAGGGCAAATTAAATTTGCATGACACAAAGAATTGAGTCAGAGAGATTGGAAGGGAAAGAGGCATTTTGGAGGTCGAGGGAATCAAGATGTGTCCCAGCTCTGAAATCTAAATAAAGTCATTTGCAGTTTGTAGAGGCTCAGAGAGACTTGTGCTTTGATTAGAAAACTGCAAATAAAGCGAATTTAAGATTAAGGTGAGCACAGCATGAGTCAGAGGCCACAGGGGGCTGTGGATTCCACACTGTCCTTGTGGTTTCTTCTCCCTTTTTACAGGCTGTGGGCTCTTCTGTGAGATGAAAGTGGTCACATGGAAGGAACACACTAAGGTCAGATATATGTAGACACAAATCCCAGCCCAGCCCACGCTGACCACGTGACTGTGCAAACCAACCATGAGCTCTGATAATTGTTTTTTTTCAGCTGTGCAATGCAGCCCTGTGAACACCGTGGAGTGTCCTGAGGGTTGAACCAGATAATGTGCTTTGAAATACACACACACATATATACACACACACTCACACACACACACATATATATATATATATCCAGTCCCTTTTTATTTTATGCACTCTTGAGTATCATAGAATTAAGAGGCTGTGCAATATGTTAGTAGCCAGATGTTATTTAAAATCAAATTTTTCAAGTTATTCTACAACCAACAGGTGCCTGACTGTAGGCAGTGGGGCTCATTGTGTGTTATTTTCACCATAAAATCTCCCACCAATATTTATGTGTAGCATTTGAAAGATAAGATTACAGTTGACTATAACATCTTTAGTCTGCGTTTTCCCCGAGCCCATTTTTTTAGTGTTCACTCTTGGGTTCCTAAAGCTGTGGCCACAGGTCTGAGTTTTAAGTCCTTTCTTCCACACTAGAGCCTTTCCTAAGACTTGGTCTGGCCTCCTCCATGCTGGAAATCCTGACTCACCTTCCACTTACCCTCCTCAGAATCCAGAACTCACTTACCCTCCTCAGAATCCAGAACTAACACTCTGGAAGCCTTTCTTTGTAAACCTTCCAAATGCAACCTCTGTCAGGAATCCTGCATCCAGGGTAAAAGAGACAAAAGCCATAGGGCAGGGCCTGGGATCCTAGGCCAGCTCTCCTCAGTCCTGTGCTCACTGATACTGAGTGGCGGGGACCCTGCTAGTGCAAAGGAGGGAGGGCCATCAAACGTCTCCAGAGTCTTTACTCAGCCAGACTCTGTTATAGTTAGAAGGAAAAGAAGCACATGCTAAATAAATAAAAGTAAATTATTTGTACCTGTATATATGAATTTGTAACATACTTTACAAATTAAATACACACCTATGATATTTCAGATATAAGTTGTTAATACATTTGTATATACTATGCATACATAATAAATATAATATGCAATTTCATGTAAATAAATATAATATTAATTGTTGTTATAAGGTATGGTTTTAAACTTTGATAAGTTGAGCTTGAACATGAAAAACCAGCAATGGTGCCCCACCCCATGGTGCCTTCCCCACTACAGAACCCATAGGTCAGGAGGCTCAGAGCTCCACTAATTTCCTTGCTGGGTCAAACACTGACTCATAGATGGCTTTGGATGCTGAGGGATCCAATGGGAGTCTGGGGAACATGAAGCAGCAGGTGCGGAGAGGGTAGGGAGTGGGCCTCGGCTCCCGGTAGAGGGATGTTTTGTGCTCAGAGCTTACCGTGGACTTTTCGTCCCCTGGGCCCCTGATGGACAGAGCAGCACATGTGGCTCATAGAATTAG